GCATAATATTTCGATTTAATGGACTGTTTCAGAAGGTAAACCTAAACACAAGGTCGGAAAGGTTCAGCACGGAGTTCTGACTGAAGTACGCAATCATGTCGTTGTTGAAGGTATTTGTAGATTTCGGATTCGGACATGGATCTCGCATTATTTGTTTTCATTACAGATGGAGTCGAGAAGCTGATCCTCAATGATGGTGACACCACAGCAGATTCGAATATAGACGCAGGGAGCTCTAAGGTGTTTGTGGATGAAAAGCCCTCAGCCAACAATGACAAGAGTGGAAGTCATGAATGGTCAAATGAAGAGTACAAACGAGAGTTGAACAAATATAAGAAGAAGCACCACATTAATTCTACTAATGAACCGGTATGTCTTCAATATTTCCCAGCAAAATACTAGAATCTTTTTTAGAGAAACGAAACGTCCTGCGACCTGTACATGCGCTGCCGGAATCAAATGCACCTGGCTGTAGACAGTTGCGCCTGGCGATTTGCCAGCGGTAAAGTACTTCCAACATTGGCTGAAAGTGCTGAAAGTCTTCTTTACAAGGTAATGTTTTTGAAAGCACGCCTTATTTGAAGGGTATAGATGTGTTAGGGATATGCGAAGTGTATTAGGTTCAAAAGAAACCAGTTTTTTGTTTGCAGAATAAGAGAGATATTATTCTTTGGGTTAGTTTCATGATAAAAGCCTGAAAGATTTATAGTTTACCGTTGTAAATACGGGAAAACATATTGCAAAAAAATCAGTTATTTTTCAGTTTTCATTCTTATGTCAAATTTTGCAGAAAATCAAACAACAATTTTTACGAATATGAGAGGCTGCATGCGTTTGCTAGACAATTAAGCAAATGAAAGATTGCAGAATTTTTTTGGGGGAATGATCGAATTTCAATGAATTGTCTCTGAATTTTGTCTCTGAACTGTAGATTTCAAGATTTCTTAACACCTTTAAATTGTCATCTTCAGAGCATGCTTTGGTTTGCTGTTCTTGTGATTCTTAGTATTCGATAGTGTGGTTTCAAAAGAATGGCATTGTCTTCTCATCCGAACAATGTGTTATCTTTCGAATTCTAGGGAGAAGAGCTATGTGACCCATCTCAGCAACCA